ACCATACCGTTGTTGAACTCTTAGTTGGCAAAGGCAAGGCCGATGTTGATTCAAAAGATCGATATGGTCACACGCCGCTATCATGGGCCGCTGCGAACGGGCGCAAGACCGTTGTTGAATTCCTAGTTGGCAAAGGCAACGCCGATGTTGAATCGAAGGATGGAGATGGCCGGACGCCGTTGTCATTGGCTGCTACGAACGGGCACCAGACCGTTGTCGAGCTCCTAGTTGGCACAGGCAGAGCTGATGTCCAAGCGAAGAATAAAGATAGCAAGACGCCGCTGTCATTGGCAACTGCCGCTGGACATAGGGCCGTCGTTGAGTTCCTAGTCGACACGGGCAGAGTAGATGTCGAAGGGAAGGATACCACTGGCGGGACGCCGCTACTAAGGGCCGCTGAAAACGGGCATGAGGCCGTTGTTAAGTCCCTTGTTGTCAAGGCCAAAGCCAATGTTGAAGCGAAGGACAAAACTGGCCAGACTCCGCTGTTAGTGGCCGTTAAGAGCGGGCATAAAGCCGTCGTTGAGTTCCTGGTCAACACAGTCAAAGCCAATGTCAACACGAAGGATGAATCCGGCAGCACGCCACTGCTAGTAGCGGTCGAGGGAAATAAACAATCTATTATCAAGTTCCTACTTGGTACAGGCGAGGTTGACGTTGACGCGAAGGACGACAGGGGCTGGACATCGCTCTACTTGGCTGTCAAGGGCGGGCACGAGGCCACTGTTGAGTTACTGCTTGGTACAGGCAAGGTCGATGTCAATGTCCTTTCAAACCATTCCTGGACGCCGGGAGTCTTGTTGGAAAACGTCCACGCTAGACACGAGGCCATTGTTGGGTTACTACTCGGCACAGACAAGGTTTATATCAACACAAAAGACGTTCTTGGCCAGACGGCGCTTTTCCGGGCTGTTGATATCGAGTCCATGGCCATTGTCAAGTCAATACTCGATACAGGCAAGGCCGACGTCGATTCAAAGGACAATTTTGGCCGAACACCACTAATGGTGGCTGTTGAGAAGGAGTCACGGAAGTCCAGAGGTATTGTGAAGTTCCTACTCGATACGGGCGAGGCCGATGTTGGTGCAAGGAGTTGGTCGCGCTTAGACCAGTTCGTTGGCCAGACAGTGCTGTCTCTCGCTGTCATTAAGGGGCATAGGGATATCGTTGATCTACTGCTCACTAGTAGTACGAGCGACGCCGTCGTTGATGCCAAGGACCACTATGGCCGGACACCGCTCTACTTAGCTGCCAGGGGCGGGTTCAAGGCCATTGTTCGGTCGCTGCTCAATACTGGCAAGGTTGACGTCCATACAATGGACAACTGGGGTATTACACCGCTCGCCATAGCTGCCAGGCGTGGGCATGAGGCCGTTGTCCAATTGCTAGTTGAGGCGGGTGCGAGTGCGGGTGCGGCCGAAGGCAAAAGTGTCGAGCGAATGCAATAGTGTCGAGATACCTGAACTTGGGCTTGAATTTCAGGCGGGCAACCCGGATTGGTAGGGTATATTTCTAAGCGTGTCTACCACATATACACTACAGTGCCTTCCTGCTTTGAATCACGAGTTTTTCAGACCAGCTGTGCCAGGTAGGGCAGTCAGGGGCAGATAGCTTCGCTAGGGCCTAGGGATACGGTTGGACATTGGGAAAGAACTACGAGGCCTGCAAGTGGATAATTCGAACACTTCACAGACCATTCCAGTAGACAATTTCACCTAAGTGCGTTGTGTCTTGACTTGAGCAACCGGAAAGCAACTCCCGGAAGCTTCCTGTCTCCCCATTCGATTTAGTTTCAAATGTTACCTGGTGAGTTATGTCTTCCCTCGGCATCAGACCTCAAACTTTCCCAGGCGCTAGCTAGCCACCTTTCATCTATGAGCACTGGGATTCTGCAACACAATAATGGGCATGTATATATGTCAGGAAAGTCAGTGCCCCTTTTGTTGGCAAAACAATCCATGGTCTTTGAGGTCATCTATAAGTGGGTCGCTTATATATCCTGATTGGCCGGAAGACCCATGGGCATGCGCTAAACCACTTACAGCCTTCCAGTTGATCCGAGGTCTAAGATCACCTTATCCTCGAACTTTCCACAACCGAATCGCTGCTCGCAATCCACCGCACCTCTCTTCAGCAGAGACCAACTGCCCGACGCGCCCGCAACCGAAGGTACACATACCGAAGCCATGGCCGTCTTCCAAAGCCGCAAATTCCGCGGCTCGGCCTACGCCAACACGTTCGGCGCGCGGTACCGCGCCGCGATGGCCAAGCACCCGTTTCTGCTGTTCGGCCTGCCCTTCATGAGCGTCATCGTGGCGGCATCCTTCGTGCTCACGCCTGCGACGGCCGTCCGGTACGAGCGACACGACCGCAAGGTCCGGCAGATGACGCGCGAGGAGGAATTGGGTGTGGGCAAGGGGGGGAGGAAGGTGGATATCCGAGAGGAGTACTACGTACGTTGGTTCTGCTCTGTTTTTTTGCTTTCGGTCTGTTTCGTGTTGGCTCTGGTTTCGGTCTTGACGTGCGCCTGTGGTCTCACTTGGGCGTGTTCCGTTTGGTGTCAGCGCCGGCGCAAGACGTGGTGGCAGTGTCGGTCTTTTCTGGAGAACTATTCCTTTGTTCACGAGGGAGGGCAGTGTCGTTGAGAAGGATTACCGTCGCCAATCTTCGCCCGCCTAGGTTTCGTTTGCTGACACGCTGTTACAGAGGCTTGCCGCAAAGGACCTCGACAATTGGGAGCAAAAGAGAGTCAAGAGGTTACCTGGTGAGAATGATGGTGTGTTATAAGCACCAACTCGGGAAACGACTCGAAAGGCTATGCCGGAAACAGGGCTGGCATCTGAGTCACGCTCCTCTCGCGAATCCGGAGTCAACATTACGATCCTTGTTATCCACGCGTACCAACACACTCGATTCCTACGAAGTTGACGACGCGGCCCCAGTTCTGAGGTCGCCCGCCATTCGTTACTGTCACGACTGGTGACGGCAAAGAGAGGCTGGTTCGGTCGGTATAGGTTGTGTCGCGTCATCCGGCCTGGATTGCTTTTTGGATCACTCACACAGTTGTCACCTGATGGATGCAACCATGATGAGCACCCCCCGCAAGTTCTCGCCGATAAAAATGGTTTGACAACTATACAACTTTGCAGTACTGGAGATGTCAGCGCGCACGCCTTAGGATTATGACTTCCGATACCGATACACACGAATGCCAGGCAGCTTGTCGGCGATTCGGCTTACAGGGCCTGCACTCTCCGAGGCGGTTATCAAGGACGGTGGGAGCAGTGCGGGTGTTGGTGGAAAGCCTAAACTGCACACTCTTGCGTTTCCCTACGGCATTTGCAGCCTCGGACAAGTAATGTTACGGGACGGTGTACGCATATGGGAGCGTGCTGACTGGCTGCGAGAGAGCGCGATTGACAATTTCAGTTAACGCATCAACCGCAGCACGCTCGATGTGGCCCGTGTGGCTTCAAATACAGCACATCATTGCGTGGAGCAATCCTGTTTTGGATGGGCGGAGCCTTGTGTTTCAGAAGCACCGAATAATGCGTCGGTGACGTGAACGCCCGTCAGCAGAGCTGCTTGTGTGAGATTGCTTGCGAAGTCCGGCAATCGGTTATCATTGGGCCTCCACGACTACAGAATGCATCAAGAGTTCCAGAAATAAGAACGGGCATCTATGCTGGCAATCACTGTGCCATGCGGACCATCCGTATTCGCTACATTGCCGGCCGGCTCACCGCAACGTACAGTACCGTAGCGTGCGTAGAACGGCCCCTGAAAGAATGGATTTCGCGTTGCTGGTCGGCATTTGGCAGTATCTGTAAGATCAATCCTACGGAATGCTTCGAAGCATTATGACGGCCTATTGGATGTTTGAATAATCCTGAATGGAGCGGGACCGGAAAATCCACTGATCTGAAGAGCCCGATGGATCGATGATGGGACAATTTTTCGATCCCGAGAACTGGGAAAAAGCCGCCGCCACACCCGTGATTGCACCGACCGTACATACACGTATACATCAGACTACACCATTAAACATCATGGTGGGCTGATTTCTCGTTTCGTGCTTGTCAGTCGCCGCCATGTTTCGTCTGCACAGATGACGCGCCAGAATAACGAGAGCCCGTGAAGCAGTCCGATGGCAGCCTCGCTCGTGTATGTGCTGCGGCTCGGTACCTTGCGATCGGCGCATGAACCACACTGTTGGAACGGACGGGCGCTTTGCTTTTTTGGAGCGAATGGCTGACTCTTAATTTGGCATCTCCCAATCATGGGAGGCAGCAACAACAACCGAAAAGATGCGTCCAGGTCTCGTGAGCAGTCATCACGATCGTGCTCGCGATGTTGCCCGTTGATGAAGCGATCGCCGGGCGCTGTACTGTACATACGTGAATACGCAGCGAAGGGGGCGAACACGATATGGCCACGATGTCCCATCCCGATCTTGCGCCTTGCCATCTCCTCTCTGCTTGCTTGCCGTGTCTTGATCGGGACTTGTTGGCAGAATATTCGGGAAAAATGTCCACTCTAAAGTTTTCGACCACTCAGTGTCCTTTATGCTGCTTTTCCAAGAGCCCGAGGCCCTGGTTGTCCAACGGTACCCACACCAAATGCCAAAGGGGGCAAACCGATCGTCCCGCAGCTTGGCAAGTATCCAAGCGGGACGAAAGGACGTGCACATCACAGAACCCATGTCCCAGCAGCCCAGCGGGGAAGATTGTTGCGGGCAGGCCTTATGACGTATTTCAATCAATGTGATGGATTCTGGTGAAGTTAATTTTGCGCCCTTCTGAGGAGAAAGGCTCCAAAGAAGGGACGGCAGTAATTGCTGGCTGTAGCTAAGTCGTTCGTTTCCCGATCAAGGGTCTGCTAATTAACAAAGTGGCAAAGGGACACGAAGTCGGTTTTGTGCTGACAGCGACCTGTCATGCTTTAGTTTGGCAGAAAAGTGAGTTCCTTCGTACTTGTTTGACGGCTGAACTTTGCTGAGCTGGCTTTGTTAGGCCCTGCCTGTGTTCTCCCCTGCAGCACAGATGGTGTGCAGGTAAAACAGTGTTAAAAGTGTGGTTGCATGAGCTGGCCGCTTGACTGATCGGGGTTGTCAGCCACACCCCAATAGTGCAGGCTAGGAAGTCACCAGTCCGTACCTCTTCCCAACTCCGGACCTTGCATGGGCTGCATTCTGCAAGGTACCACACCTTTTGATCATGGCCGGACGATCGTCGGCATTCTGCCCAGCATGACTGGGACTCCGTGTCCAGGCACAGAGATACTGGACGCTTGATTATTAAATACGGTCTCCGACCCGTCCCGCCGGGACACTACATGTAGTTGGCTTTGCCCAGGCTTGATTTCCTCAACTTCCCAAACCAACTAGTTGGACATGCTACGGTCCAACACCATCAACCACTGGTTTACGACCAACTAGGCTCAGAACTCTCAGACTCTTCTTCCTTTTATAGCCCTCGGGCTCAGGCTTTTAAATCTCGGCCATCCCTCTCCAGCGGTGATGTTGTGCGGCATCCGACATAACTCCAACGACCATCACCATCACCACCGATTCCTCCGCAGCTTCCGGAGTCACAGGTGTTTGAGGCATCACGAATCCGACATCGACACCATGAACCACCACAGAAAACCAAGCGACGCCAGCAGCTCGTCCTCGCTGGACTCTCGCCCATCCACGAGCAGCAGGTCCGACATGTCAGTCGACTGGGATCCCCTGCGTCTCCACCCCCCACAGGCCCGAGGCCTTGCTCCGCTGCTTCCGGCGCCTCTGCCTAGGGAAGTCGCCCGCCCTAGCAGCAGAAGCAGCAGCAGCCGCTGGCATCAGCCACGCGAGTTACGGCAAATACGATCCTCACACAACCTCAAAGGCGATGCACGTCGTCAACCAATGCAGCACACGTACCAGCCGTCCAACACCATCATCTACGGCGGCTTCGACTTTGGATTCGATGCCACGGACGCCACAGCTAGCAGCAGCAGGAGGAGGGAACCCTCTCCGTCACCAAGCATAGCAAGCAGTGTTAGCAGCAACTGCAGCATCAGCGGGTCTGATGAGGAGATATCGGCCATGATGGCCGGGGGTCTGGCCCCTGCCCCCGCCCCACGGCCCCGCCCCCGACCCCGCCACCAAGACGGGACGGGCTTGGACAACGGCGCCGAATACTTTATCCGGCGCGGCGGGTGGAAGAGACGGGGCATTGTTTTCGACGCCGGGACACCTCTCGCTGGCGAGGACGAGACTTTTGAGATTTGATCATTCGGTCCTCCCAACACTCATACGCGTCAGCGTCTTATTCAGCAAGCGCTAGTTTTCCATTGTAGGGTATCATGGTATTCCCGGAGGGAGCATTGCATACAAGGCGGCGTTAGAAGGTCATTCGCTGGGTTTTCCTTCTACATGGTGAATTGGGGGGCATTGTCTGAGCGGCATATCACGGATGCATCGTCCCGGCGTCATGGTTAGGATACCCTGTGACAAAGATACCACTCTGGCGTTGGAGCGTCTAGGTACATACCTTACCTAGATGAGTATGTAAATGCTTCTTTATTTTTAGGTCTAGTCGCCGCGGCGTTGGCGAAACACAATCCAATGTTGGACAAAAGCATACCTCTTCTCTCTCAAAAGCATGTGATAAAATCTGTTGAACCCCTGGCCTTGATCTAAGAGGATCATAGAGATCTCGCCAAGTTGAAAACGGCCGCTCGGCCTTCAGGCGATTCACGAGAAACCAGGGTTTACCTTTCTTGTGCAACTCTCAAGAAGGTGAGCCCGAACTCAAACGGACACCACACAGCTACTTGCGGATATACCAGCAAGAGACTTGTTAGTGTCCGAGCCCAGGACGGAGGAACGGCGGTGAATCCCGATCGTGGGGACAGGACTAGGAAGGGCGCGATCGGAGCATTTGGCCCTGCCCTACCTTTCATGGTCAAATCAATGAAAGGAGAACGCTCGTTCGTCAGGAAACGGTCGCACGGTCGTTGAGTTTGAGTCGTGTGCATGAAGCTGATATCAGATGTCTCCGAGCTCCAGCTCCACACCGGCAGCGGAACTCCGTACCTGGGCGGCGCTTTCCGAGTCGTTTCCACTCCAACATTGGTTGAACAGCCATCAATATTGGGCTTGGGAGGTGTTTCAAGCCTACCAACTACTAATGCGTTAATCCGTGGTTTTACACTTTGACAACAGTTCAAGGCCTCGACTCGGAAATCTCCGTGCCCAGCGGGCTGAGTCTGGGGTAATGCAGTTGCGGAGAGTTAGAGAGCTGCAGGTCCTAACCAAGTTTGTCTTCCCCTCTTCTCGACATCACAGGATTCACACAGCCATCCGTCAGTTTTCGATTTCTAATCGTCGGTCACGCGTGGCAAAGGGACACACACAATGACTCCCATGGGAAATTGCACTCTGGACCAGCTGATTGAATCAATTGGCTTGATGTCCTCCTTGGGGTCTGGAAGATAATATTCCGAAGACGTAAGGCATCGTCATCCCATGGTACTTGGATGCTACCGTGCCATCCGCTTCCTCGGTTTTTGTCGTTCAGCCACAGCCATTCACAATCAAAAAGAAACTCAAGACACATTCGATGGTACGGATACGCAGTATGGTATCTGCCGCTCTTCCGCCCCCAATTCATCACAGGAACAGGATGCAAGCTGTCAATTGCCATCAGGTTTTCGTTGATTCCACCTGCGGCGATACCTTCAGTGAACCCCAATACCACCACATTTCCCAATTCGGCCCATCCCAGCTCTATATCGATGTTCAGCTCTTCACCGTCTTTCTCTTGTTTGCTTGCTTTTTCCCCTACCTCTCTGTTTCTGGTTTTGCTCCAGATCAGGATAAAGTGCAGTATCCGTACAACCAACAACTGAGACATCCGGCCCTGCCGAGCTGACGGACGATAACGACGGCACCACCCAGCCGAACTGGGTGTGAATGCGGGCGAGGCTTAGGGGGGGTCAAATGACCAATAATTCGCCCTTGGCTACACCAAAAGAACCAAAGGCTAAACCTGTTCCTGTTTCCCCTCCTAACCTGCCATGATGCAGGTACGGCTCGGTACTACTGCCTGCAAGCTGCACGACACTTTCACACTCGACACTAGTGGGACAAACACGCTAACTCAGCACACCAGTGCAACCCTTATACAGTGTAGATATGTCCATAGGTAGGAACAGGGCCTAAATTCGGGTCTCTATCTTGGCTACACTAGCATTGTTGGCCGATTGACCAATTTGACCCAACCGGAGGGCCCACACCGACCGCCGACGGTCTGCCGGCCATCACCGGGTATCCGCGGCTCCGCAAACTGACCACAAAGGTCTGGGTGACGCACCGGGCGTTAACGGTGGCCACGACGACACCTGTAGGCAGATATTGCAAAGAGACATTGCCAATGCCTTGGGGTGAACCATATAGGTATGCACCTATTAGTTAGCAGAGCGTTGCACATATTTCCGTCGGTCATCATACGGCGAAGAAAGCCGGTTAAACGGGCGAGCTTTGGCTCGTGCCGACCACATAAGGCATCAAAAGGAGCGATCACAACCGTAACAGCTCGTCAATGAGTTGATGGTTATCAACTCGGAACTTCAAACCACCCCTGGCTCGATGAGCCGTCTCTACTCAAGTCCTCCTCCTCGGCCGGCCACTGAGGGACGGATATCATATCAACGGGCATTCCGTCTCGCTTCCATACCCGGCCGTCCTTCATGACGAAACTAACCCTCCGCAATGCCCTCGCATCTTCTCTCGGGTCCGTATCCAGGGCAATGATATCCGCCCGGTTGCCCTCCTCAAACCATCCAAACCTAAAACCGCACTGGTCCTTGCCACATGCTGCCCACCCTCGAATGGTGCCCGCAACCAGGGCATCCTCAACGGGTATCCCCGACTCTACCATAATCTCCATCTCCCTCGCGTTCAACCCATGGTTGAAAGTCCCTGTATCCCCTCCCGCAGCCAGCAGCACGCCCTGATCATGCGCCTTCTTAACCGCGGCCTTGCACCACCGATAAATCTCGTCCGTAGTGGCGATCTCGGCCGTTGCCAACGTCGGCACCCACACCGTCCCTCGCTCCTTCATCTCCTCAAACAGCCGGTCCAGAAGCCCACCCGTGTCCTCAAAGATATGCTCAATGGTGTTAACCCCGGCCATCGACGCCATCAGCGCCGCCCTGGTCTCCCCAGCATGCGCGGCCACCGGTAACTGGGCGAGCGCCGCCTCGCCGACAATGGCGTTCATCTCCTCCTGCGAGAAGAGTGGCACGGCCGGGTTCCTAGCCTTCTTGTTATCAGGCGGAAACAGAATTCTATTCCCCGGCCCGTCGCCAGACTCGATATCATTCGGCCAGCGCATCACCTTCCTCCGGTAATCGGCGTAGAACTTGATAACATCTGCCCCATCCCCAACACGACGACGCACCGCGGCCCTGACCCCGCTGACCCCGTCGCATGCGTCAGCCGCCCGAGGAACAGTTAACCCCAACCCAACCTTGTTCTCGACGCGTATCTCGTACGACCCGCTGCTGGCCAGGGCCTCGGTGGCCACAAAGAGCCTTGGCCCGGGGATTAAACCTCGGTTGATGCAGTCCCGCAGGTTGGCGTCGGCGTTGCCCAGCGCCTCCGTGCCCAGGTCCCGGTACGTCGTGTACCCGGCCAACAGGGCGGCGCGCGCGTGGTTGGCGGCCCGCACGGTGCGTTCGACCAGGGATTGGTCCCGCATTTGTTGCGTCGCGGGTCGTTCGCTGGTTGGGATGGTTAGCTGGCAGGTCTACTAGGACACTTATTGGAGAAGAGGTGTATTTACGCATAGGCATGTAAAAAGATGTGCGTGTGGCTGTCTACGAAGCCGGGAAGAACTACTTTGTTGCGGAGGTCGATGTCCTGCGGTGGGAGGGGTGAAGGGAGGTCGGGACTGCTTCGGGTGACGACGCGGGCGATGGCGCCGGTCGTGGGGTTGATCTCGATGGAAACATTCCGTAGCCAGGCTTTTTGCTTGGGATCGAAGAGCAGGGCGGTGTGCACGGCAAACGACCCGGGTTTGCGTGCCATGTTCGGCTCGGGCTCCGGAGGAGGTGTTGAAGTGTTTGATGGCGTGTCAATGTCCCCAATGCTCGATGGTGGTCCGGTGTTTTGAGTGATTGATGTTCCGATTTCGTTGGTGCGAGTCAAGGGGTCCAAGCTGGCAGTTTCAACATCTGAACCGGGCGCGCGGAGGCTCAAGCCTACGGTGGACATGATTATTGATCCCGATGTTCGATAACTTGGAATGACTAGCATGGACGACGCGAATATCACGTTAATAAAGGGAAGAAACCGGATATTATTTGAGCAGGTGACGTGCTGCTTTTATACACGCGAAGCAATTGTGCGGTATCCGTTAGCCCCCTGTTGGCTCCGGGATGTGAATTCGGGTGTTTGCGCCTGAGCACCTTGATAAACACAACAACGTCGGGAACCTGCGATGTCCATGCAACTTAGGCGGTGAGTCGAACCGGCCCGAGTCTCCAAAACATGCCCAAATAGGAAAATAATTGGTCGTTGCAACGAAAATTCAATCTATTTGGGTGCTTTCAACCCTTTCCTAACTTTAATTCTTCTTGCCCGGCAGATTCTGTCCCTTCTTCTTCAATTGCTGCTCTTCCTCTGCCTGAATCTCGGCATCGATCTGAGCTCCTTTTGACGGTGTGTTCCCATGTGATTTGGCCTGTCAAGGGTTTGTTGTTAGCCCGACTCGCCCTTTTCTTATTTTTCCGGGAGAAACAATTGCTTACAGGGAGGGTCGGGTCCTTTTTGTACATTGCTGTCTCTTCCGATTGCGACTCCTGCTTCTCTGATGACTTCTGTTTTGAGGTTCGTGTTAGTCGTCAGCGGTCTTCTGAAGATGCAAAACGAGGCGAACCCACCTCCGCTGCTGCACGGTTCGAGAGCGACCTCTGATCCTCTTTTCTCGCCAATTAAAGTCAGCCACGTCGGTATGCGGTGAAGCATCCGAAGGTCGATTACGCACTTGAATCATTCTGGAGGTGCGAGTGTGCAGTTCCTTCCTGATACCGGGTACCGGTTCCGGTCTCCGAGGCCTTTTGGTTTCGTTGGTCCCCGGCCTCGTAGATCTGGCTGTTTCCGACGTTTGAGTTGCCTGACATTTTGGAACTTTTTCTCTTATTGCGATGCGATTGGCAAGAGTGATTTGGAAATGTTTGCTGAACTACTACTTGGGAAGACCATGAGCCTCTTCGAGGACCATATATGTATGGCAGGTACGTCCCCCGAAATGCGGTATCCAATGTGTTTTACGTCATACACTGCTGATGCCCAGGCAGATCACCACGGACTATCCACATACCTACACTTATTACAGAGCATCACAGAACCAGACACCTGTACACTAGAAGCAAGCGTTGGGCCAGCTCTTCGAGTCGAGATGCTAATTCTCCACTACTTCCGCTGCACTGCATGCGGCAACCCCGACCTTCGTGGCATCCTCAAACTCTCGAGGCCATTGATCAATTCGAGTCCGACACGGTGCTGCTGCATGCTTTGTAAGACATCAGGAAAAGTACCTAGGCAATAGTGTTGAAATTGCACAATGCAGATGCCTCGATACACCCAAGGGCCCCAATCTGTCAAGGCTATACGAGTAATATGACATTACGTCATAGGAGCGATAGAAGTAGAAGGGTCCTTGGAGCTCGGTAGCTCTATGAATGGTGCCTAGCAGTTTGCGATCTGCAGTTAATCACCTCAGAAACGTGTAACTTGCCTGAGTACATGTAGCTCAGTCCTCTGATCTGTTGCTTGTGTAGAGGGAAGGAGACTGTGAGATGCTTTCTACACGCAATGCAGTTCTGGTACTCCGTACATGTGGTGGAGAGCCTGATTGTGACGGGATTCTATTAACGCCAAGCCCGGGCAGGCGCGACACCGGATAGCGCCCGGGCGCGGGCACTGAGCCGTCTTGGCAAGCAGGGACTGGGGAAACAGGCAGTGGCCCAAGCTCCTTTGGTGGGATGATGATGGCTTGTTCCGTAACAACCCCAACGTCAAGTCTATTTTGAGTCTCACAGGTTGCCAAATATCGCAGTCTCTGTCTTCGCCAGTCACCTTTTCAAAGTCGCAGGACCAAGCAGCCAGCATGTTCTTTGTAAGTCAATCATGGCATGGATCTCATAACCACATCGATTGCAGTCCGCTGACTCGGTGCAAACCCCAGCACAAAACCCCCGACGTCATCACCCTCTTCCACAAGGCCAGCTCGCCTGCCTCGATGCGGATTCTTGCCGCACTCAGGCAGAGAGCTGCTGCTGCGGTTGAGACTGCAACTGAAGATCAAGCCAGCAATCACGCGGCTCAATCCAATGATCGCACTCCCGACTTCGACCTGGAAGTGACCGAGCAGCCTCCAACGACCGACCAGCTGCAGACAATCCTCAATTATGTCGGCAGCCAGCGCATCTCCTCTGTTATCAAGGGCGCAACTACCGAGCAGGAGGCTTTGAGGAAGTTCAGGGAGAATATCGACAATTTTCAGAGACCTGTGGTATGTCCTATATTCCCCGTCTTTGTTCTGGGTTGTTTCTGCTTCTTGCTACCCCATCAGTATACTACCAGACTGACCCTGTGCCATGCAGGTTGTCGACTGGAATAATGGCAAGGCACGCGCAAGTGAGAACGAGTCTGAGATTCTGAAGATGCTCGATGAGCTGAAGAAGCAATGAACTACCTGCGCATGAACCAAGGTTTCACGTTGCTTCGTCCCTGATACCTCTTTTAGACCCCACTCCTTGTATTATGCATTATTCAAACCAGGCCTTGCCCTTTGTCAACTGCTCCTGTCTTTGTTTGGACGTCTGGAGCTTCTTGATATGGCTGGATCAGGCTGTTGTGGTGAAGTTCAATGTTCTTGTGTTGGAGTGAATCAGGGGCGTTGGCACCGGACAGGCCTATGCGAAAGCAGCGAAGGTGTCACCGGTGAATGCTGCCTGTGCTTACTGGTACCGTGATCAAGTCTCCCAGGTTGAATAAATGGTGGGGCTCGTGAGGAGGGAGCGGCATTTCTGTGCTTCACTTGTGTGGTATTGATCATGAGGGTGGCTGGGGCAGATTCACACCAAGCCGCGAACTTCCCACCACGTCGGGCCCATCGCCGTCCTCGCTGATCAGCCCTCTTCAAACTCCGCTCCGCTAGTGGGCTCTTCCCTCCGGCGACTCATCATTTTCTTCTCCCAAATCCTTCCACCTTGAAATTCTTTTCCTCCACAACAACACGTACTCGAGATACGATCTCGCTGGACAGGCACTCTGCTTCATCGGCTGATAGAGTCAAGGCAACGAACAAACTCACTACTTGGTCTTTCTTGGAATCGAGCGAGCTACTAGGGTTGATTGCAAGATTGCCCAGTCTTGCTCTCAAAAAGCCAGCTCAGGTCGAGTCGCCTCTCAAAACTCGGTCCCCAGCCACACCAGGTATCCGACCTTGACTTCAATCCCGATTAGAAAGGTCCCCCAGTGTTTTTCTATCTCGCTGATCAAGGCAACCGAGTTCACTTTCCATCTCTCCTAAATTTCGTCTACCCGAAAAAACTCTCATCCCTCCTCACTTTTGCGACCAGCTTCTTGATCATATCAAGTCGAACGGTCTATTTGGCCTGCTCGCCGTCCAAGTTTTGTCACCTTTTTGGTCTCATATTTGCGACAGCGAAAATCTTCAGCATCGTTGGCCAAACAGAGCTGATCGTCCCAATCTACAATGGATCCCGTCTCATATCCGTCTCTCCAGCCAAAGTTCGGCCATGGATCCAGTCGCCCTTCAATCGGACAAAAGATCCCCAAGCCAAACATGGGCTTCTACATAAACATGCCCACAGATGCCGCCTGCATCTTCTCCCCAGCCATCGAGTCTTTGGAGAAGCGATCCTTTGATGACATCCTCAGCATCCCTTACCGTGAGCCCGTGCTCTGGGATGATTGGCAGCTCGAGAAAGAGTGCAAGCGAATCCGGGCCTCCCACCCTCGCGAGGTAGCAGATATCGTCCGACCCACGACTTGGGACGATCTTTACAAGTACTTCGATGCCCGCGATCTCTGGTTCAACGGCGCGTGGAACCTTTGGCTGGTGATCCAGCGCCTTTGCGACGAGAACGCAGATCCTGGCAACCAGATCGACCCTGCCATCTTCGCCGAAATAGATGATTGGGTCTGGAAATGGTGCACTACCGCTGAGAATCGCAACAAGCTGGGCGCCTGGCCTCTGCAGCGTGATGTCTTGGAAATTCTTCCCCAAGAAGACCGCAATGCTGTCGCCAATTGTGGAAGTGTGGCTCTCGACGTTCTTCGCCGCGCCCTTCGCCACTGGCAGAACGTGTACTCGGTCGGATCTGTCAATCAACAGACCTCGCAGCAGAACAATCATGCTAAGGTAACACCTAGCACCTCGAATGGTATGTACTTCTCTAACCTTCCTGTTCTATCTTGCCCACTGCCCCTTTCAACCATATGTCGATGGCCCTATACCACCCCATCCCTGAGTCCTTTCCACCAATCCCCATCAAACCTTGGAAACCTGACTAACAAAGTACCCAGATGCAATCGAGCCTCAGCGCGGACGCTCCCCCAAGCTTCTTGAGCCTGTTCCCCGTGCTCAGACTCGTTCCAGCTCAGCCGCTTTGGCGCCAGGTCGTTCGATGTCCCGGATGCCATCCGACACTCGATCGGCCACCCCAGTACCGATCGTCGCCCGTGGAACAAACCGTGTAAGCAGCACTGGTGGAGCGATCAAAACCGCCCAGATTGGCCCCGCCGCCATCCCGGTCGTCCAGAACGGCGCCGACTGCGTTGAGCGACAGGCAAGGAGTCGGCACCAGCCCTCCAAGTCGGGCCCTGCCCCTGCTGACCACTCGATGGCGAGTCGTTGGCAAGGTGTTCGGGGCTCAGGTCCTTCTCGGCAACCACGTCGATTTGGACAGCTACCCACGGTCCCCGGCAGCTCTCCCAGCAACCAGGAGCAAGGGCAACCTAACGCCAAGTCCATTTCTCAGATGCCACCTTACCGTGACAGCTACCATCCCAGACCTTGTGACTCAAAAGCCTGCAAAAATGATAAACGGATCAGTAATGATAAACGGATCAATCCCCGCGACTTGCTCTACACGACCTATGAGCCTTGCGACTGTCTACGTTGCACCTATAAATCCCGCTCCATCCATGTCAAGCCGCTTTTCGCGCGGACAGGCATGAACAGGCAGGTGATGAGCGACATCTTGACAAGATATTTTCAGACTTGGGGCTACGTTGAGGCCTGCGAGTTATCCCGCACTGTCAATGGAGGTGGTGGTTTACGGGCCTTTATTCGGTAAGCTCTCATCGACTAACTCAGCTGTATGGCAATAGGATACTGACAGCAATAGATTTTCCAGTGAAGAGAGCGCCCTCCTAGCTGTCGCTGTCGCTGACAGGAAGCCTATTGGCCAGCTAGCCCGTTGTCCCAAGGTCGAGCACCCTTTCTTCTCGAAGTTTTACGTTCCGCCGGCTCCCTCTCCGCGGAGCGAAACCTCAGGTTCCAAGCGGTCCTGGGGTAGCAGAGAGATTGATCAGAACTCAGCGATGCTTGCCCAGCACCAGTCTTCATCGCCGAACGGGAAGGCTCAGACCCGTGTTAACAGCGAGGCATTTGCCGCGCGCACGCCGCAGCGCCAACTCAGCACGGAGCAGCCCTATGGACCAGTCATACCGGGATCAGCACGCTCCCCTAGTATGGCCCAGCCAGGTCAGCACCCTCAGCCGGTATTTCTCAATGGCTATTCGCAGTCGCCTCAAGATCAAGGATAGCGTCCTTGGTTTGTGGGCTATGCCCAGCCGAGTGGTCAGACTTCTCCTTACCAGTACTACCCACAACCGATGGTCGACAGACCCCATCCTCAGCCTTACTTTGAGCCTCATGGCTGGTCGAGCATGCAGATGTCACATGGTCCGGTCCCTTACGATTTCCGCCCGCACTGTCCGCCGCATTGGTACCCGCAACCGGGTCCGGAACTTCGGCAAGCCCAGCAGTGCGGAACTCTACCGACCGCACAGGTTCAGGATATTCCTCGCTCAGCAAGTCATGGTCGCAATACCCGGATTCAGGATTGTGAGGTGCAAAGCAAGCCGCCCTCTGAGGAAGCCGTGGCCGAAGACGTCCGTACCAGTACTCGCAAGAACTCTCTGAGTTCCACCAGCAGCACCGGAAGCATTTGGGTCCGCCTTCCAGGTATGCAGCCCAAGGAAGTGAATGCTCCAGCCTCCACAACTGAGAGCCCTGTGATTCCCAAGACGCCCTCAGAGGCGCCCACTTCTGTCACTGCCGGGCGTGACTTTGGGGAGTCGGACACTGGACAGGGCATTGTGCTCGCAGGAGAGGACGACGCCTCACCCGCTCAAACTCCTGAGGGGCAGGGCGAGAATTCTCAGGGAGCCTTCGAGTGGCAATTGGAACCCAATTCTCGCTTGGCAATAGGAGATGTTCGATTTGAGCCCGGCTTCAACGCCACGGTCATCCATCGACCGTACAAAAGGCGACATCATCTGCCAATCCCTTCGGGTTGGGGAGATGACCATACTGACTCCTCGAACCATCCGGACGATACTCAGCCAGTGCCTGCTTTGCATTCAGCTGGCCCGCTGCCAGATCCGATCTTGCCGTCTCAATCGAGCTTGCAAGCGGACATTGACGCAGACCGAAACATTCAGACCAACGAGAAATACAAAGCAAAGCCAAAAAAAAAGGCGAAGAACAAACATAAGTCTGCCAAGAGTCCTGAGTTTTGTCGACGCGCTTCTCCACTGCCCCATAGGGATGCACAGCTCAGTAACGACACTGTCGTCACAAACAGCACAATGGGCCTTCCGGACGATGCTCAGGCTCAGAGCATCCCGGCCGCGAGGACCGGCTACCGTTCCCATGCTGGTGGTTCCCTGAGGATTCCCCGGCACCGCAACGCCTATCCTCAATTTATTCCCACATTCGACGGAGCTGATCGTCAGCCAGCAGCGCAGCCTGAGGCTCCCATTACCAACGTCTCTTCGCTCCAAGTCAAGGATTTCGCGGAGCCGCAGCTCCTCACGGGGAAGACGGAGAGGTCCGAGGACAAGTTCGGGTCCAACCCCGACGCGGACGCTTGCATCTCCGACTGCCCAAAGGTGGTTAAGGCACTTCCCGGTGAACGACCGGATAGCCTTCCGCCAAAGCCTCTTCCGCCCAAGCTTACTCTGGCCCCAATTCCCATAGTCATGGTGCAGGCGGCTGCGCGTCAAGCTCCCCGTGCACAAAACGGCCACTCGGTGTCCCCCGCGGCACCCAATGATAACAGCATTCCGATTACCGCCGGAGATCGAGCTTCTTCCGCCCAATCTACGGCGGCTCAATCCCACTGTGCCAGCGAGTAAGTACTTGAATATGCTTTCTTTCGTCCTTTTCCGGCCTCGGCAACCTTGTTTCATCCTCGGCGGATTCCGTCGCATCCTCCGATAGACTGTCCCTCTCGTCTCGTCTTTCATCGTCTCACTTCTCAATGGCCTTCACTCCTTTCTTTTACCACAAATCGCTGACCGAGTCTTTTTCATCCTGTCTAGCTACTTCAGTGCGAAAAGCCACATCTCCTCCAGAGAGAACAGTCTTCCTACTTCGGAAGCAGACAAGTTCAAGACAGCCCATGCGAGCCCATCACTGCCTGATGTCGAAACCAAGGACACCGCCAAGGCTCCTACTAAGGCTCCCAACTTGAAAGATTCCGCTACCTCCACGCCCGCCAACACGGCCAAGGATCCTTCAGTCCCATCCCCGGATGTCAGCACCAGCGCCGAAGTCAAGACCAAAAAGAAGAAGACCAAGCCCAAAACCGACCAGCCGAGCATCCCAACCCCTGCCCCGGCAGCCCGCGACCCGCTCGAGTTGAGCAACAATGACCCCGGCGTCAAAGGCGGGGAGGTAGAGGATAAGAAAGTGAACAAGAGCATCGACAACGACGAGAAAAGCAAGACCGTCACAGCGGAACCGAATGGCACCGTGGAGACTGTTGCCAACAACAACCAAGCCGACGAGACGGCGCAGGGCTGGACTTCGCCCCCGTCAAAGAAAAGTCTCAGGAAGCTGAAGAAAAAGAGGGAGAATGGGCGCACCCGTAAGAAGTCGGATTTCCCCTCGCCAGCCTTCTGAAGAGGCAGAGGCGCGTGGCGTACTTCTTGAAAGATTATGACTCGTGAGAAAAGAGGTGGATGACGGATGGACCGACTCGAGTTGTTTTGCTATGGAGTTCGTCCATTGGACTCGTCCAGATGATATACGCTGAGGCATCTGGAGATGATTTTCTTTTCTTTGCCCTTTTATTCTCCTTTCACCTTTACTTTTCGATCGACCGACAAGGCTTTTCGTCTGGTCGTCTATCATAGGTGTGGATTCAGGGCGGCTCTGTCACGCCACACTAGATGAGGACCATGACACGCACAGCCTGTGCTGGTTTGGTCGGATTGTCTCTTGGTTGGGCAACTAATGCTTGGGTGATGAAGACGGATGGTTTGACGTGAGGACTGCTTGATTGGGTCGGTTTGGGCTGCTGGATGGGCCTGGCTTGGACTTTTGATGGAGTGCAAAAAGTCTTGGGGTTGGGAACAGCAGCATGAACCGAGATCAGGATAGCACCGTCGGCCTTGGGTCAGTCTTCGCCTGGATGGATGGGTGTTAATGGTGGTGGAAAGAGTAAACCTTCTTGTCAAAGGCTCTGTCAGATGTATATCGACTACGTATAATTCATTTCAAGACGTAGCATCATGCTCAATCGTGCCTGCGTGCAGAGCGGTCACTGTATGAACTATATTTCGTGATGAACTACTCCTCTGGCATTAGTCCGCACTTTCCTGAGAGCTTCAGCAGGAGCAAAGATGAAGAGGCAATGCATGAAATCCGTCGCCCGTCTCAAGACAGTTAACTGTTCGGGCATGAGATAGCCGTCCGCTGTAGCTAGCAATAGCAAGCTTAATATGACGTCATCAGAACCGGCCGGTGCATGCCTCCGTCGGAAGGATCAGAAGGGAAATGGCAAGTCCCAAATCTTGCGCTTGTGCCTGTCAGGAGAAAACGATGTGATAGAGGTAAGCTCATTAGTATTATTCGCCCTATCCCCCTGCTGCTGGTTCTATGGGTATAGCCAAACTGTGTTCCATAGCCATGGTATCATACACATGTAAAAGCCAAACGCAAAACCCAAGTACGCAAAAATCCTACCGCTGCCTTCCAAGGGAAATAAGCACAGTGACCGCGGGTTCTAGACCCTAGCACGGCCAGTGAAGCGGCTTCGGCGCTCCCTGTGGCCCCACCAGTAGATGAAATGGGCAAAGGTGCCGACGAGCCAGAGGAGGGCATTGACAAGAACGACCCAAACGGCGTTCTTCAGTCGTTGGATGTCGGAATTTCCCCTGGCATCTTGATGAATGTACATCTGGGAAAAGAGTCAGCAGCCAGACTTTTCCAGTCCACAGTCAGCAAGGTATGTACGTACGCTCGCAAAGACACCGAAGAGGGCGATCCAAAGGATGAATAGAATCATATTCCACGCCCAGACCAAGGCAAATCGCAAAATGAAGGGAATGCAGTAGAGAATAGCCGTCAGCGCCGAGAGACCGCCCACGACTTCAGCATAGACCTGCAAGATAATTAGCGAGAAAGACCTGGACAAACGGGAGATTCTCTGGATAGGAGGAGTCTTACCCATCTGCCATCGGCATGCTCGTTAGCTTTCCGGGTGCGATCGAGCTCCACGCCATAGAGTGCGCAGACGGTAATGGCGAAGACGAATTGAAGAAAATGCAAGATGGAAAAGGCGACATAGCCCTTCCCCAGCCCGCTGATTGCCATGTTTGCAGATGCCTTGGCTGGTGCGCCTTTGGACAAACCCGTTGCGTGATGGAGAGCAGCTGTTTGGAAATTGGGTGTAGCCCTCGAGTTGTGTAGATTGTAGAGCCGACGTGTCTAGTGGGCTTTCGTCGATAGGCTGGATGCAATTATCACGACGGTGAATGGATATTGACGATTTGCGGAGGGGAAAAGTCAGGAGAAGTTGCGACTTATGGTTGACGATTGGATGAGGCCCCACGTACAAGTACAATTACATAGCTGATCACCAATGACGTAGCCGACCAAGTGCCGATTGAGGCCAAGCTAACGTTAGACCCACTTGGCCCAACGGCCTGGGTACAGTACAAAAGTACGTAAGCTGTGTTAGACGATGTCCTTTTCCATCGCTTTGTTTCTCGGGCAATGCGTTTAGCAGCCCCAGTATTGTCTGCTTGTTTGATGCTACTATTAGTGTTCTAACCGATAAACGGGGTTATGGCAAGCATAGTTGTTGATTTATTTGGGTTGCTGGGAAAGCCACTCGTGTATAGGACTATAGGTATGTATACTTGTGCAGTACTATTACTCATTGGTACGGTGCCCTTGAGATAAGATAAGGAGATAAGATAGAGGGGCTAAACACCCCACTCTGTGATGAGACGTCTCCTTGAGCTCAAGCTCTCCAAGGGAAGGAGCTCATGTTTCAACCTCATCATCGTTAACATTCCAATTCACTGCTTCGTCAAATCACCTCACCCTGCACATCCATATCACTTTGTCATTTTACAACTACAGATCACATGCGGAGTTGCTCACGCCCGTTGCGTCGTCGGAAGCCTGACTCTGCACTTTCGGAGATTCGGAAATGTTCGAGGCGAATTCATTGATAAGCCTTGTCGAAGAACCCTTCATTGTTAAGCCTTTAACCCCACCTTGAAAAAGGTGTGAACCTTCAGCCATACTGGTCCGCAATCCCCTGTCGGGTAAAAGACAATAAAGAAGAGCGAATTAGATTCCCATGTTATCTGCATTGTTCTTCTTTTGGAGTTCGAGGCTACCCTCCGACCAGCCCAACGCCATATTCCCTGAGACACGTCGGAAAGTTGATGTCTAGCTCGGGCGCATATACGCCGAGGGCTGAAGCCGACAAGAAGCTCCAGATCCAGCTTTTGTGTTAGCAATCTAGTCCGGACATGTGTAAAAAAGACGCGATGCCCCTACAATGTGCGGCAGGAAGTTACAAGCTTCGAGACCAGTCGAGCTGCCTACACCTCCATATTTACTGAGAGCCCTGCAGCCCTTCCAGTGTGAAGCTATCGGTTCTGTAGCCGGTAAAGCTGTGCGATCCCCCTCAATGCGTCTCGGCCTTTAGAGAAGTCGAGGCTCTACTAATCCAGTTGACACGACTGGAATTGCCGGGACCTCATAGCATAAAGGAAAGGAATCCCGCAATTCACGTCGGGGTTGCTCCATGTTTTCCCACTATCTTTCCCAAGAAGACCATAAAAGAACTCCCCACAATGCTCGACAACTGCACTCCTGCAGGGCCCTGGTGGCCTGGAGATTCGGGACGCCCTTACACTTCCCACTTGTTGATACCAGTACATAGTAAGAGACCCTCAACCCGAGATGCCCGCAGCCGATGTTATTGTGAATTCCCATCGATCAAACTCGATCAGTTTACCGGTTGCGCCACTCACATTCCGGATTTACCCTTGTTATCGTGGCAAACTCCGAGAGTGCCCTGTGAACGTTCTTATGAGCAATGCAGCTTCTTGGCCCCTTGGGCCGGTTCAAGATGTCCAGAGTTTGAAGAGTTAAGATTCTCTAAGGGGTACGACATAGGAAGGAGCTGCGTCTGGGCAGACCCAGCATTGCGAAGGCAGTGTGGTAAGGCACAAACCCAGAGCATACTTCTACGTTCATCAGTCCAGCTGACGGGCGCTCATATTGCCAGCAACAATAAGGCGGACGGGGCATCACCGGCCTACTGCCCTGCCACACTGGATTGCCCCGGCACCGCGCCTACTTTGCTTGCCAGTCAGGGGTCAAAAACAGCACTCGGGGGAAGCACAGCACACATTGGCCAGCCATCGACAAAGGCGATTCTGCCTCTTGTTGTCTTGCACAGACCGCACAAACCAAGCCGCCGCCCGTTGTGACGTGCCCAACTGATCACGGGTCTCTTTGCCACCGATGCCCAGCGTTTTCAGGATGGCAGTGGCAGCGGTTGTCAGTGGCATTTTCTTCACGATGGAGTCGGATTTCTGTCCCGCGATGATTCCTGTCCATACATCGCCGTGTGGGCCTTGCTCGTCGCCTTTTTCCTTCACCGAAGGAACCAAACACCATGGTGTGGGCAACGCTTGGGCCGAATTGGAGTCTCGCATGGTCGTTGGTCCGAGGTTTTCCACCGCCTCGACCCCATACGTGCCGCAGTGGGAAATGACAGTCCCTGAGCACTTGTTGGAATGCCTCACGATTGGACGAGATTGGGTCTTTTTGTGTACTTTGTGCAGATTTCCACCGACGAAATGCCTTTCGGGCCAATCTACCAAGCCCCCCTGGGATTTACATCACAACAGGGCATCCGCCGCCATGGCTCGAGGATATATAAGGACCGTCTGGACGACCTCGCTGTTGAAGGAGCTGTTGGCAAGATAGGACCATCACCGTTGTCAATTTATTCTCTCTCAACCGGGAAACGCCCAACACTGTCCGTTAAATCGTCAAGATGCCGCAAGGAAACCAGGTCAGTTGAGCCCCCTTAGACCTGATGGCCTACCTATGTTTGCTTACCTGATATGTCTCTTTCTCAGCCCGCTATTACCACGGTCTTCACGTGGAAATGCTGTAACTGTGGCTACAAAGAAAACGGCCGATTGAATCCTTCCTGCATTAATTGCGAACATATCCGCCGCAACGACTGTCATTGTAAATGGAAGAAGCATTATGTTAGGGCTACCTAACAGGTCCAAGGTCGGAGGGGAAGGCGGTTTGATGCTTGGTCGGAACACTCGAGAATAGGTTTCTGGTGCTGGCCCGGTTCAACCTGGCTCTGTTTTGTGATGGTTTCCGTCATCGACCTCTCGGCAAGCCAAGTTCGAGACACACATATCGCCCTGCACACGATTCTTGTCAACACAACCTGAGCCGTCCTCCAATTTCTGACACCATTGGTGGGCTCGATTCTTATCAATCCAACCTTTACCGTCAGCCAATTTCAGAAACCACTGGTGGGCCGTCCCTGAGGAGTCCTCACCACTGCAACCTTCCGTCTTTGTTCGGTATGGGCAGCAATCCCGGCTCCGGAAGAGGTGTTGGTGGGGAGGGGTGGAAAACCCCTTTTGTATTCCGATTCTGCGAACCTGTATTTCTATAAGATTTTCATAGAGGCTGACATAGTCAGCACTGAGGGAGCAATCGTGATGGATACACAAATCTAGGAACTTTTGATGTCAATTCTTCTCCAAATTCTCCCTCTTCCGTGCCCATCACCTACCTACGTCTCCATTCTTCCGGGCGAGCTCCCCCTTTTGGGACAACCATCTTTCCGATACCTTGCTAGGAACACTCTACAGTCACTCAATCCTCAACTCATCAGCTTCATAGATTTTTGAATGAGCTCAGACCCTGCAGCTGGCATCTATCAAAAGAGCAAATGTTTGTCGCATGGGCAATGGGCAATGGCTGAGCAACTTCCTAAACGTATTCGCATGGCCAGAGCCACGAACATGTCGAATCAGGGCGGAAAAGAAAAACGGAGGTAGGCGGAGCACGCAGTCCGTCTGCTCTGTTTTTATGTTTTTGAGATGCCGGGATCGGGCATGCCAACGCCACCGGGCGAACCGGTCTCGGGGCGCGGACCATTCGGTCAAAATATGCCTTAGGCCCCCATTCATAGCAATACAAGGCAACAATGAGGACGAAATACAAAGCAGCCAGATGAAAGTCGATGATACTCGCCACTCGCTCGAAAGACCGGAGAAGAGAACGGCGAAACATGACCTCCAAAGTGACGGTGAGAAACGAGGTGCAGTACTCGGCCGGTCGGCCCTTTATATAACACTCGGTGTTACTTTCCGAGGTCGACAACAGGCTCCCAGCCTGCCCCAGTGTGCCTTTCCTACGGATTCTTCCCAAGTGGGAATCCTGAGTACAGGTTACTTAGGCACCAGGCAAGGCTTGACGCGGAAACCGACTTAGTGGGGAGGGAAGGCCCCTTTTGTTCTCGGTGCGACAAAAGGACCGCTGTAACAGCGGCAGGATTGCTTCGATACCAGATCATTCACCGGATTCAACGAGAGTGGAGGTTCGCTGCTGCCTTCTTTACGGGCAGAAGCAGCCACTCAATCGATGGAGAGACAGAGAGCAAAACGAAAGAGGGGTCCCAGAGTTTCGGCTTTCGCATGCGGCTCTTTCTCAAAATCTTGATGCGGATTGGTGTTTCTGTGTCCAACGGGGAATCAGTAGTACGTGCAGGCGGCTAATTATTTAGATACCTGTGTAACCTAACGTAAGCGTTACACACGATCAGCCCTGGGACGAGGGGTGGTGACGAGATTCCGTACTGTCGTTGGTAGAATCTGTTGACCGCGAACTGCTGCAGGGTCCTGCTTCTACTAACGTGCCACGGCCCCTACAGCGAGGAGACCTGGACAACCTAACACGGCAGGCACCGTATAATACTTGGGGCAGTCTTACTATGTCAATGGAAGGTACATACGTAGGTGGCTTACGTGCGCTTTCCATAGAGCCAAAAGCCCGGACGAGTTGAGATTGAGAAGAGGCGCGACTGGTTTTCCTGTCCCGGGAAGCAGCGAGATAACCCCGATGCCGTCCCAAGATATTAAAGAGACGCCAGGCTCGGCCATACTTGAGGCTTGAAGCTTGGCTTGCTTGGTACCGTACCACCCATTACTGCCAACGCTCTTGCTGCAGGTAGCTGTCAGAGATGGACTCAGCCATGCCTAAGGTATGCAGACGCCACAGATACTACTACACTACACTACGTACACCTTAGGTACCCTATACAGATCCAATACTGTACTCCTACCACGCATCCAGCGCGAATCCAGCCACCATACATGCTACCCATCACTACACCCACCTTCCTTACCGCCATTTGCTCGCACACGAGGCTGGGTCAACCTACATAATACGATGTAAGGGTTTCATTTTACGCGCCGACGCCAGTAAACAAATGCTGTAAGGCGTCATTAGATGAGTTTGTCTAGAGTGTATTGGCAGATGCCACGAGGCTCGCGTACGACAGTGTGGCATCATTACATCAACCCGGCCATACGCCACGGCTTTTGAGACCTATTGCCGGCATGTGGCAGAATATGGAAACAGGGTGCACGGCAGCCCGAGAAACCGCCGGCCTCTATCCGCCTCTTCCTCTTCCTTTTTAGTAGCAACACTGCCCGAGCACATGCGGAAAGCTGGGGGAGACTATCTACCTATGATCCCGGGGCCGGTTCCTCGGTTCCTTTCTTCCTCACTGCCCTTCACTTGTGTCGACGTGACCGGGCGACAGGTAATGTCGCTGTGAAGCACGGCTGACTGAGCCCTGAAGCTGGGTTCGAGAAGCAAACAAAGAGACAGGGGGAGAAAAAGAAGGCAACCGTTCTGGCTATCGCTAAGATTGGCCCAAAGCCGTAACACGTGTTTGCTTTCCCCGTTGCGAGAGGCGTTTAGGGGGCGCTGCGCAGGGCGTCCGCACTCGACAGCGCCACGATGAGATCTGTATTCCCCTCTCTCTCCAGACTTTCGATGAGTCTTGCGCAAGTGTAAAGCGCAATACTCACCTTCGACAAGAGTTGTGGCGCCCGTATTCCGTACCCGCAGGTCAAGACGTCCTGTAGCAGCCCAGCCTACTGACAACACCCTCTGAACCGCCCTGCTTGTGCATTGCATGGCCGGGAGGGTCCGCCAGTAGCCACCGAATACATCCAGCAGCTGTCATTCGCATCACCCTCTTCCCCCGGAGCCGGCATTCAGGCAGGCACACCAGTCGGCCGGGCAGTCAGCGCCCCCTTAGCTCACGCCATCAGAAACATTAACATCCACTCAGAATATGTAGACAGCTCCTGCTCCACACACACACCGGCAACGGTATCAACCATCCGTTACTGACCCCCTGTCTCGCTGTGCCCCTTTCATCTGGGGAACGGGCGGCAGGAGGCTTGCCACTGGAAGGGACTGTGCAGTTAAAATTCCCGCTCCTATTCTGGCCCACCCTCTGGCAGCCTCAAAAAGGGAGGTGAAGTGAGGACCCTTACCGATCTGAGGCTGACGGCACGGCGGCGGCGTAAAGGGAGGGGAGAAGATTCGTACATATACGACTTGTACTGTACATGTATCGTACGGCATTCCAGAATACACTACCACACTAGGTAGGTAACGTTGTATACATGCCATTCTGCCAGGCGCTGCAAGCTAATCTTGCATGGGGAAAATCTGCCCTGCAAAAGGGTGTAGGACGGTAGGTACTGGAGCGTTACGCAGTGCGCAAGCCCGGGGCGAGGGCGCTTGTTCGGAACTGGAACCGGGCCCGAGCTGGGCGGTATGGGTGACCATTCGCGTTGGGTTGGAATCGGTGGGAATGGAGATCCCATTTCTTTGACCCTTTCCCGTTTCCAGGTTCTTCAATCATAGAAAGGTCGTGCCGACACTCTCTGGATCGTCTCTATTCAGTTCCCTGGTGGTGATTGCTGACTGGAGTGAACCGTTTCGTTTTGGGAGATATTCTGTCTGGAACAAGAGTTAATGCTGTGGAATCTGGACAAGATCCTGATGGCTACGTTTTCCTCGACTGTTACGTCGTGAATCATGTCGATATCTCAGGGGTGACTGACCGGTACATACCTGATGTCCACGAGTCGGGACATACTCCGCACGCACCTATAAGTCATCGTAGGCAGCTCTTCCATTGGTCTGGTCCTTCCTCAAACAGTAGAGTAATAGTACAGGGCCAGGAGCAGCTGACGTTTTAAGGAGGGTCGAGCACATCAACAAAGGGGGAAGGGGCGTCCGAGGTGGTTCGGCAGGGGCATCATGTACTGTACATACTGACTTGTTAGTACAGCTCAAATTTTGGGTGGGAAATTTGTCCTTTCGACTACCCCTCTTAACAGAACTTGCCGACGCTGTACATACATCATGATACATCCTGATAGCTGAGGCAAGGCACGTTCTTTCCATGGTCCATCAGCCTCCATGTGTTGAATGCGAAAGATCAGCTGGCGAAGCATGCCCTGCTTCCCAACGCTAGAGGCGCGTGTCCCGTTGCGCCGTCTATATCAACCGCGTCTCGCCCATATGGTCGAACTCAAGTCAGGGCAGTGCCCAAGTAAGGGCAGTGCCGCACACAGACTGATGTTGACTGCACTGGTTAGCGGACCCATTTTTTTGAAAACAATGCCGAGTGGTATCAGTAACTAGAGCACGCAGCCTTGACTAGGGATCGTCCAGCGAGCCAAGGAGAGGGCTGGGGGGATGGTTGTTGACCGTTCAACTACCGGGGGCGGGCTCTCGAGTGTAGAAGTCACTCACCCTCTCGACTGTAGAAGTCACGCACAACTAGCGGTGTAGCACGGCCTAGCCGCACACTGGGAGAGCAAATTTTGATACAAATTGAGACATGAAGTCTCTGCTATTTATACCTGGCCGCGGCATCTCAGGGCTCTCTTCCCTCCTGTAGCCGTTTCTCGACCATTGCTAGAACAAAGTAGATGATACACGGGCGCGCGCCTGGCCACTGGTTACCCAGCACTGCCCTCAAATACAACGGCTTGCCTTACTGCATATATATACACAATCGCATCCGAAGCCACGACAACTCACTCCACCTTGGTGGGGATTTTGACCTCGCCTCTGCGGCGGTCCGTGAAGGGCTGGCCGTAGCGCCAACCCACGGCCGTTCTGGAGCGGCCGTTGCGGCCGACATCGTCGGCATTGACCTTTTCGAAGCGGAACTCGAACCGGCCGTTGTCGACGCGCAGCGTCTTGTCGGCCTGGTGCTTGGCCTTGGCCTTTTGCGCCTCGGCAAAGGCGCGCTCGCTCTGCGCCGCCGTCTCCTTGAAAATGGCGTAGGCCTTTTCGGGTTCCATCCCGGACGCAATGTTGCGTTCCATCTCCACCAGCTCGGGGATCCGCATCTTCTCGTCGGGCGGCAGAATGTGCTCGCCAAACGCCTTGGCAGCGTCGGCCCGCGTAAACTCGCGCGACTCGGCCGTCGGCACGAACAGCTGCTGCATTGTGTAGCTGTGCACGTGTATGTCGTTGATGGGCTCAAACGGCTTCTCGCCGGGTGTCAGATAGGCGCGCGGGAGCATGCTCATAATCACGTCGTGGTACGTGCGGGCAAGAGGCATCTTCTGTTTTTGTTTAAGTCCATCCAGTCAGCTTTCGTTCGAGAGATGCTTGAGTGGCGGAGGAAGAAAAGTAAAGGTGGCTTTAGTTTCAGTCGCTGAACAGTTTTCTAACCATGGTTTTGACGTCTTCAAGACTAATCGAATAATTTTGTTTGCAGATCATCATAGAAGCGAAGGTGTTCGGGTAGAAAGATTATTTCGTCAGGCACCCCTTACCTTTTTGTACATATAGTGTTCAATCTGCTTCATCCTCACCACGGCCGCCACCCGGCGCATGTCGACCTGGTACTTGGCCGACACGGCCTTGAGCGGCAGCCCCTCGCGCATCACGTCCTTCCAGATCATGTGCCGCGCCTTCGACGACAAAACCGGCTCGCTGCGGAAATTCGGGTTATTGGGGAACGGTTGATCCTCGTACACGTCTTGATAGTCCGAGACGGTCACCAACTGCGAGATGTAGTTGGTCTTGCCATTGTTGGGCTGTGTGCGGAACTTTTCCTTATAATCGTTGATCCACTTGAGAAATTCGCGTCTCTGGCGGGTGGGCTGGCGCGCTTCCGTTACTGGCGTCGTCGAGAAGGAGCGACTGCATTGTAGTTGTGACGAAGAGGATGTGGAGGTTGCTGCTAGCCTTTGCAGAGCCAGTGGTGATGCCGATATGGAAATTGGCGGTGCCGCCTCGAGGTAATTGAGCAGCTGCCGCGATTGACAGCAGCTACTACTGTGTATCCGGGGTGGCATGGTTGCTAAGTATCTGATTGAGGTTTGGAAGGATGAGCTTCGACGACAGGAGTTGCATTTTTCTCAAGACGAAGTCGGACTCATCACGTAAGCACAGACCCCCTATCGAACCAAGGGTTAGGGTATCACTTGTTGGTTACCAATTTCGGCCGGCTTGTGTTCACGAGTCACGACATTGGAACCCCAACAACGACCTGTAGAACCTGCGATTTCCTTACCATAAGGGACAAAATTGAACATAGCGCAAGATATGTGAAGGCTTCATGAATCACCACATCTCCAACATTTTCCAAATGACCAATACTCGATTTTAACTCCGATCCTGCTTTCCCTTTGCTCCCACGTCAACCCCTGAACAGCAATGCGTCTAAGACTTCGTATGTACATATTACCCTGCACATCTATAGGGAGCACTAACTCCCACATGTAACGCTCGTTCTCGTTCACGCTAAGTTACACAGGATAGGCTCTCTCAATGCACCTCCTATCTGTTGGGGGCGGTGGTACAGGGGATGGCTACAGTAAAGCGAGGTAGGTGGGGGGGGGGACGATTGAGGGAAACACAACAGACACCATTAGGAACAACCAACCGCTAAATACGACCGCATTCCACTCCCTCCATACCCAGGCCGTCAGATTACCGCCCATCCACACGTTTTGTCCAATTCCACGCCGCAGAGCTCAAGAGATCCGGTCGGCACAAGCGGCCGTACAGCGCGGTTGTACGAGCACGAGATGGTGTCCTCATTGACCCTCTGAGGAAGAGCTATTGGGCGCCTGCTTGGCCTTCTTCGCCTTGGTTTTCTTCGCAGCCGTATCCTCCTCTGACTTCTGCGAAGAGTACGACTTCCACTTCCTCCAACCGTCATAGTCGATGAGGGCCTGCATGCAGCCCCATTCCATGACCTTTCGCTCAAGCCAGACGTACGTAACGGGCTGTGAAGTGTTACAGTTAGCCCCGAAAATGATACATGCTGCAAAACGGGGAGATTTCCAGAACATACCTTGGTCAAAAAGTCATTACAACCCGCCGCCAATGCTTCGTGTCGGTCGCTCTGCAGCGAGCTTGCTGTCAAGGCGACAATGATGACGGGGCTCTTGAACAGTTCCCTATTGCTGAGCTTATCCTCCTCGTTGGTCTCATCCTTGGCACCACCTTCCGACTCGCCGCCGCCGTTGGTTTTGCCGTCGGCAGCAGCAGAAGGCTTGCTGTTATTGTTGTTCGAGGACTGTGAGAAAACACCTATCGAGTTTAGTCGCTCCAGGCGGCGGATTTCCCGTGTAGCCTCGAGTCCGCTCATGACGGGCAGTTGGATGTCCATCAGCACCAAGTGAAAGCCGCCCTTGCGCCACTTGTTGACGGCCTCGCGACCGTCCATGGCCGTCTGCCATCGCACCTTTAACCGCTTAACGAATGCTTCCAGGAGGCGCAGATTGATGGGATTGTCTTCGACAATCAGGACATTGATGGGCGGGACACCTCCGTTGAGCATCCCGGCAGGTAGTGCGGGGGGCTCACTGGTTTTTTTCTTCTTTGGCCGCGTTACGGGATTGGGGCGCGGGGAGGCTGTTCTGGGCGGCGGAGAGGTGGTTCGCTGGGCGGCGGCGGGGGTTGGTTCCTGGGCTGGCGGTGTCGGCAATGGCGGCGCAGAGGGGGCGGCTTGGGCGTTGACTAACTGTTCTGAAGAAGCACTTGAATGAGTCCTGGAACGCGCTATCGAGGATGCCTGCGGCGTACCGTGGGTTGCGGAGACGGCAATGGTGGCCGTGTGCCCTCCGGCACCGACAACGTTGAGTATGGTGGGGGATGATGTATGCTGCCTTCCTAGTCGCGGTCGATCTGGCCGTTCCCGGTAGCCCCTCGATCTTGTCCCGCCGGGGGAAGGGATCTGGGGCACTTGTCCCGTGTTCAGTACCGAGATGGCGTGAGGCGTGCCGCCCGATCCGGTGCCGGCGATCGTCACTGGGATGTGGGCAACAGCGCCGGGCCCGAAATAGTCGGTGCTTGAGTCCACGGCCAGCGCGTCTTCGTAGCCAGCCGAGGTAGCGTGCTGGGCATGCGGCGGTCCGCTCCTGGGCGAGGCTCTGGGGGTGCGACGATGAGGGACGTCGATGATCAATGCCTCATCGACTGTTTGTCCTCCAGGGAAGTATGCGTCCAACGTACGCGCTATTGGCTCCTCGGGCCCCAGGGCACGTTCCTTCATCTGCTGTTCTCGTGGTATAATCCGCAACGTCACATCGGGAGGGTCGAATTGACGTCCTAGTGAATTGGCGTATTTTCGCAGAATTAGATCGCGGACATCGTCAACAAGATCTTCCTCGCTAATCGAGACGAGAGTGGGCGACCCGCCCGGTCGCTTGACCCAGATTTTCCGCGTCACCATGTTGGCGCTGATCGGGAGTAACTGATCGGCGGTGGTTGGATCGAGGTCTCCGGAGCTGAGCAGCGTCCGGATCAATGTTGTCTGTCTGCTCGGGAGCAAGCTTTGTCGCCTTGGCGGTGCGGGCGGGCGGGTAAGCGAGCTGGATGGATGCAATTGCGAGTTTGATGCCGGGCCAGCTGGGTCTTTGGTGGCCGACGGCGGAAGAACAGGTTCGGCAGGTCGAGTGTCCGGGGTGGGCGGGTCGCTCAGACTGATTCTGCGAACGGCGTCGGTGGCTGTGGGGACCGGGGCCGCCGATTCACCGGTGGGTGCAGCGTTGCTTGGCGTCAGCTCTTTCTTGCTGCCATCGACGGATTTTTCGTTGACACTCTCGAGTCTGCTAGCTGCTGATCGACGGCGTTCATTCGAGTGCGCGTCGTTCGCATCGCTGTTGGGGTCTTTAGGGGTGGAGTGCATGCTTGCTACTCGCACAGGCCGTGGTGGGCTGTTATTAGTGGTCGTTTCACCGTTCTTTTCCCTGTTTGCATGCGGATCGGACGCGGCGTCAGGCGGGGAACCAGTTGCATGGCCATTGCTCCCGCCGGTTGCATCGCCGAGTTTGCTTGTTCCTTTCGCTGTTTGCTGCTGCGTTCCCAGCCTCGCCGTCCCCAGCCTTGTGGCTTGCCGCGTGTCGGGGCCGCTTAGACCTGGACTATGGCATGCCTCGGGAGCGTCCGGGGCTGCTGTAGCCGCTGGATCGGTCGCTTTGGGGCCGGTCGCTGCCGGGTTAGTCTCAGCGCTGATGTTGCTAATGCCGCTACCATCGCCGGTCTTGTTGGATGGGAGGGACGGGGGGAAGCCAGAATTCCGCCGCGGAAATTTCGCTCGGAGTTTTGACTTCAAGTCTCCCATCACTGGGAGCCCGAAGACGGAGCCCTTGCCGTGCTCCGATCCAGGTGACTCCAGCTTGATGGTGCGTGAGTTCGCAATGGCGGGTGACCAGCAATGCGGTCGTTGAGCTGAAGGAGCGGAGATGACAACGTAAGAAAGGATTGATGCTTGGGTCCTTTTTTGTTGTTTTCTCTCCCGTCTGCAGTCATGGGCTGTTTTGTTTGCCACTGCCTGCAACACATACAACTTTTATTAACGCTACAGGCCTTTGCACTTTCCAGAGAGCTCTGAGCTTCCACTTGCAGGGGCATTTTCAGAGGAGAAAGATCGATAAGAGAGTCTTGGCAACGACCGAGACCCGCTGGAGCCCAGATCCGGTGCGCCCGGTGCAGATGCTCCGGCCTGGACAGTAACACCCCACGACCAGGCCCGCTCGCTATGCCCAATTGGAGTTTAACAGAGCCCGACATGCAGGTGCAGCATCGACGTCGGTGCAGCACAATCGTTACCGAAATATGTTAACGGGGAAGTGGCCCAAAGTTAATGGACGTTGCCGTGAGTAACGCGATTCCTTGTCACGAACCATCAAGTAGGCCCCTTCGACGCTGTCTATTTCTGAACCAGTTCTTGCCGAGAGTGGTACGGAGTAGTGTATGCTGTTAATGGTCCCGGAGAGAGAGCCTACATAGATCTTCCGAGCCCCGGCCCGATCGGCCTACACGGGCAGCCTATGCATAGCATTGCAAACCTCAATCAGATGCTTCCATGTTTGCTTCAATTTCCATTTGGTTGAAGGACATTCAACTGCATTTGACGGATGCGCTGAGCCGAATCGACGAATGTATATCCGTATTCGTACTTGTCCTAGTCTTATTGACTGCTGTCTAGCGATTTCCAATCACTGTAAGTTATCAGTCTGGAAGATTCGATGGCGAGTTCAGAACGCTACCTACCTTTACTTAGGTTTGCCGTCGATGAGGCTTCTGGTGGTTGGAATGGGATTTCACCACGGTTACGAATAAGTATATGCATACAAAGTACAACACACCTCCCAATTCAGCTAGTGTATCGGTAGCCTGCCATCTAAGTTTCTAGGGTAATTTGCTTGCGCATTGTTTGTCAGCTCCTCTGCCTTAGCTAACGGACTGTATTGTACTGTACAGGTACTTCCTCAGGTCTTACTCCGTACCAACCTTAATTTCAGCTATCAAAGTCAACGATTTTCTGTTACATTCACATCCAAGAACAACCTCACCCGTTGCATCTTGTAGGCCTCGCCGCGTCTCGTTTGCGGCAGGTCTCTCAGATGTGCCGCCGCTCATTGACTCTTATTTAATTTTGCTATTCTGCGTGTTGCCGTCACTCCTTTGGCCTTTTTATTGCCCGTATTAACCGTCCGTTTGCGCATCGTTGCAGATACAAACATCACCTAGCTACGAAACTCAGGCCCGCAAGCATGGCGTCGAAACCGACATTTTCATTTTCTCCTTCCGGCCACGATTTCCAACGGGAAGCTGGGCGAAACGTCAAGCGGACCAAGCGGCCCAAGCAGTCCTCGCTTTTCAGTCACACCAACAAGACCTTCATCTCCAAGCCTCCTGAGCAGCCCTCGACTCCAGCTACAAATCTGTTCGGCAGTGTAGCTTCCTTCACAGATACCTTCTCTGTGAGCTCGCTCGAGGGCACCCCTATCAGCAATCCGTTTGCTGCTGCGAACCAGCCTTCTTCGTCTGCCCTTTCGCCCTTGGGCTCTAAGAAGCTCAAAGATTATAGCTCCGACAGCGAGAGTGGGTCTTCGAGTGCTAGCAGCCGCTCTCAGTCAACCGAGAGTCTTGCTAGCACCATGGCTGGTCTCAAGTTTTCTGACGCTTCACCCAAGTCCAAGCCCGGGACGGAGAACAGAAGGGTCACACCCAGTTCGGCGAACCCTGATAGCAGTACTCAGGACGTTGATGACACTGACCAGACTGACGCGGAGAGTGCTGATGAGAGTGGCTATGAGAGCAGCCAGAATGGTGTCAGCAACCATGAAAGCTCCATTCTCGCCAGCCATCTTAGCCTCCTCGACCGGCGTCCCGAGCTAGATGAGCTGAATGAAATCAAGACCACCCCAATCTTCACGGAAGCTGTTCGCAAATATGCCCTCTCACTGGCTGGAAAAGACGGAGAAAAGCCGTTCAGTCAATATGGCCTCTTGGCTGGCCAATTCAGTGGCGGCGCCGATGACGACTCATCAGACCCTCGTATCTTTTGGAACATTGCTGCGCCCTCTAGCTTTTTCATCTGCGGCAGTCAGGGGTCTGGCAAGAGCCACACACTTTCTTGTGTACTCGAGAATGCCCTTGCAGCATGCAAGGCAAATGTGCTGCCTCGACCTCTTACTGGCCTCGTATTCCATTATGACACCTTCATCTCGGATTCCGGAGGGTCCCCTTGCGAGGTGGCCTGGCTGTCGTCTAATAGAGACATTAAAGTGCGGGTGCTATGTTCACCAACCAACATCCGCACGATACAGGTGAGTCGAGTCTCCCACTGCTATCCGAGTCCGGTCTAATCGAAACTCCAGCGGCTGTACAAGAGATTCCCTAATATTGAGGTTAAAGAGTTGCGCCTGAACGAATCCGACCTCAACACCAAGCGCATGCTTGATCTAATGGCGGTCACTACGGGGGGCAACTTGCCTTTGTATCTCCACGTCGCGCAGCGCATCCTCCGCGACATGCGCGCCGACCAGCAGCGAACGGGTTCCGGATTCAGCTACTCCGAGTTCAAACGACGTCTCCACTTGGAGAACCTAACGGAGATGCAACTGTCTCCACTCAAACAGCGTCTTGAAACGCTCGAGTCCTTCATGGTCGAATCGCAAGCCAAGGCCTACAACATGTTCAAACCCTCACAAGCCAGAGCCAAGCCGACACCCGCGTCCACGGGCACCTCCTGGGTGCCCCAGAGCAACCTCCTTACGGTCGTCGACCTCTCGTGCCCCTGCGTGACGCCCGAGATGGCCTGCTCGCTATTCAATATTTGCCTCTCGCTCTTCCTGGAGCAGGACTCGGCCACCGTGGGCCGCATCGTCGCCCTCGACGAGGCGCACAAGTACATGACCGACTCGCAGGAGTGCCAGGCGTTGACCGAGGCCCTGCTGGCCACCATCCGTCTGCAGCGGCACCTCGGCGCGCGCGTCGTCATTTCCACGCAGGAGCCAACAATTAGCCCGAAATTGCTGGACCTTTGCAGCGTCACGATCGTGCACAGGTTCACCTCGCCGGATTGGCTGGGGGCGTTGCGCAGACATCTTGCGGGCGTGTCGACCGGTGGCAAGTTGCTGGAGAAGGCAGAGAGGTTGAAGAGCATGGCGAATGGAGATGACCACTGCGAGGACGGTGAGCTAGAGATTGAAGGGCTTGGCGCGCTGACGCTTGGCGATGCCGACCCGTCGCTGGAACTCTTTTCGAGAATTGTCGATTTGAGGGTTGGGGAGGCCTTGATGTTTGCTCCCAGCGCGATTATAGGGGTGAAGCGGAGGAGGGATGGTGAAGGGAAAGAAAAGGTGGACGTGAAGCGCCTTGCGCATGGCGTGTTGAAGATTCGGATCCGCAACAGGACGACTGCGGATGGCGGACGGAGTATCATGGCTGCTTGAGTTGGGGTGTTGGCTTTTCATGGCGTTGTGGATCAGAAGAGACGTTGTTCAGGCAGGTCATGGGCAAGCATGTTCGATCGGTGTTGGATTTGAGCTTCTCACAAGGATACCACTAGACATTAGACCGGTAGCTGGTCTGGCGTTGGGGTGACAGAGCATTCAGGGGAAGCTTGTCAGGCAGCATGTCAGGAGGCATGTCAAAAAGCATGTGAGACTAACTGCATGTGTAGTTGAT